TTTTGCCCACTTTCTACCCTCCTTCCTCGTTGATTTTAAAAATCATCACAATCACCTCAAAAGATAGCGTTAGCATCACCTGTAAATTCAGGAACAGAAAACACAGAACATACAACAAACTAATGTACAGAGGTGAAGAGAAACAGCTACAACCATAGGTTGGTTTCTGTACGTTTCACCTTTTCGGATAACCGGAAGTCGACTAATCCGAAAATAGCTATAACGTCGATATCGTCTCCTCGTGTTGCTTAAGGGATCTAATACCTAAAACTATAATGACCTCAATCTCAGAAACTTTGTGGCCACATACATAGTTTGCTAACAAGATCAATGCTGATCTGAGGAAACATTTACACAAATCAAACATATCCTCACACGACTGTCTTCCAAAACAAATGACCAAATCTGATTTATTTGATCCTCATTGAAAGCAAATTATAATCATCTCAATCTCCTAAACTTTGTTCCTACATGCTTACTTTGCCCTAAGATAAGCACTAACAAACACATCCAAAGCAACATATGCAAAATGCATATAAATCACAAATAGATATAAAAATTATAAATAGATATAAAAAACACAAATAAAGTTAATACTTCATAGGAAAAATTGGTGTAACACCCTAATTTAACTCTAATTAAAATCCTAACATTTGAGATTTTTTTTCCAAACCCTAAATTAATTTTAGTGTCCAATTTGAAAAATAATGAGAACATTGTTTCCAAATTCGAAATCCCTAGGAAGATCAGAGATCAAATAGCAATTATACCAAAAATTCTATAAATCCTACTTTCTCCACCCGCGGTCGCTTCTTCTTCCTTTTGTTTCTTTTCTTCCTTTTCGGTCAGCCGTACCTGCCACTGTGGCTCGTCTCCGATACGTACCCCGGCCATCCCCGTGCCTGAAACGTATCAGATACTTGAAACGGGCTCCTTTGCCGCCCACGTGCTTCATAGAGCCTAACCAATCAATCCACCACTTTAATCAAAACGCATAGGCACTAAAGACCACCCCAACTACACTCCCCATGAAGAAATAAAATCAATATGATTACCACCAAGCTTTGAAAAGTTGATGCCTCGAAGAACCATAATCAGCCAACCAGTCCACCGTTATTCTGTTAGAACTGAACACTTGCTTGAAGTGATTTTCCCTAATTTCACCCCCACCTCCATTGCTAGTTTTATTGCAAGTAGCTCTGCATGAACTGCGCAGTTTGCAATGCCCGATCCGGAAAACATAGCACAAAACACTCTCTTATGGTCCCTCAACACTCCTCCACACCCGGCAACACCAGTCTTTAAAAGCCCCTTTAACGTTGAACTTCAGCCACCCTTTGGCGGTGACCATTCACCCTTCAACTTCGTTGAACTTTACGCTGCCGGTCGACATTACTTCGTACCAAGCCATCAATGTTTCTCCCACTCTACCTCTTCTTCAAAAGCTGCTTTGATCCAAAACATTGATCGTAACTTAACGAGCTGAACATATCTTCTTGGGATAACGCATTTCCCTCAACAATTGTTTCATTTCTTGATGATCACATTGTCCATAATGTCGCTGAATCCAAAACCCAGAAAGAACATGGATTAAACCACACATCAAGAATTTCAGGAAAAACTGGGAATTCAAAGCTTTGGCTTCAAGCTTTTCATGTTACAAACACTAATTAATGGAAATATATGCATGAAAGATGCATGGTGATTCAAAGCTTCGCCTTAAATCTGTACTTTACCTCCTAGAAGAAGACATTGAAGAGTAAACTCAGATGATCAAAGCTGAGAGTGCTGAAGCTTTTCAATCCTTCAGTTTGAGGCTCTGAAAGGGTTTCTTTGAAGTTTGCAAGAATTTGTAGTCCGTTTTATTCTTGTCCCGATACATTTAAAAATGGATCCCTAAGCTTTGCAATCATTACCATCTTGGTCCCTGAATTTCATTCTTACTCTTTTTTTTTTTGTTCCCGATAGTCCCTTAGTTCATTTCTTTTTCAATTATTTTGATGATGTGACATTTTAAGATTGTGTCAAAGATAAAAACGAGAAAAATAGTTTAAGGATTAGTATAGATTAAAAATATTTATAGACTAAATGGAAAAATATTAAATTCATAAAATTATTATAGATGAATCATTTTAATTGGATTTTAATAATAGGGGCTAAAGTAATTATTTACAAAGGATAAGTACAAAAAAAATAAAGTTTGCAGTTAATTGACGAGGTATTTTTTAAAGGAAGGCACGTTGATTTAATTTTAGAAATAAGTACAAAATACTAAAGTTTACACACTGATCAAGAACAACAACCAATGAAAAGTTAAAAGTATCGGTTACTATACAAAAGGTGTATTTGATACTTGAACTCGAATCATTGTGTATGTAGAAATCTCTATTGAGAGACTCACCCCCTAAAAATCAAGCGTACAACATGAGCAGGTTTGGATTAGTCAGAATAAAACCCTAAAATATGAGGAGGGACAATAAAAGAAAAAAAAGGTGCATTTGGTATTCGATCCAAAAATATTATTTTAATAACGATAAGCGCAAAAAAATAAAATTTACACACTAATCAAGACAGACAACCGATAAAAAATCAAAAATATTGGTTACTAAAGTTTGCACACTGATCGAGACCAACAACCGATGAAAAGTTAAAAGTATCGGTTACTATGCAAAAGGTGTATTTGATATTTGAACTCGAATCCTTGTGTATGTAGATATCTCCATTGAGAGACTTACCCACTAAAAATCAAGCGTGCAACACGAGTTGGTCTGGATTAGTCAGGATAAAGCCATAAAATATAAGGAGGGGCAACAAAAGAAAAAAAAGGTGCATTTGGTATTATTTTTCGATCCAAAAATATTATTTTAAGAACGATAAGCACAAAAAATAAAGTTTACACACTAATCAAGACCAACAACCGATAAAAAATCTAAAGTATTGGTTACTAAGAAGAATAAGTAGGAAAAGAATAAAGTTTACAAATTGATCAAGATTAACATTCATGACTACTTAATTGTGACGGATTATAATCTAATCATTGATTTTTTTTAATTTTATCAATAAAATCATTTAACTATTAAAATGATGTCAATTAAATTATCTTTCATCAACGTTTCTAAGGAGAATTAACAAATTTAATGTATATATCATAATAATTAGTTAATATATCAAAACTAAGCAACTTAAACAAGTATTTTATAAGCAGCAAAACTACACAAAAATGAACTTGAACTCATCAAAGACTTGATTATCAAGGAACCGATGTGTGTTTTACTTTGATCCAACATATCCGTCTTAAAAGATGTGGAAGTTATGTGTTACTTTTTAAAATAAAACTCTTCAAATATTTTTAGAGACGAAATTGTAAAATATTAAAATTTATCATATTACGATTATTTCTTTTAAAATAAAAAAAAAATCAAACATATTAAATTAAGTATTTTTCACTGAATTTTCTTCATGTGTGTGTACAATAAAAATATTTTTTTTTGAATTAGCATAGTTTTTTCAAAATATAAAATCCTTAAATTTTGATGTCCTAAGACGTGTCACAAATTATACTTGCTAATAGACAAGCCTTATCGATAGACTTTAAAACTTTTCTCCGATTTCTACCATGAAATCGGAAGAAACGAAGGAAAAGAATGATTCAAATTCCATAATTAAATTATGATATGCACAATCACTTAGACTTATGTGTTTTCGATTTATATGAAATTACGAGTTGAGTTGAGTTTATACATTTAATTTGTATTACTAAAGTTATGAAAGAGTGAATTAAAAATTTTGGAGCCTATGGATTTTTTTGTCACTGAACTTTATTTTTTCTCCTAATTTGGTCACTCCACCGTTAAATAGTTAACGGTGTTAAAAACGACACTGTTTAAAAAAATTCACCAAAACGACATCGTTTTGCAACTATATAACAACCCATTTTAATATCGTTAACTATTTAACGGCGGAGTGACAAAAAAACTCAATGTATTAGGTTTAGTGAGAAAATTGAAAAGATTTAAAGTTCATAGAGTAAAATAGGAGAGAGTAAAGTTCAATTACCATATTTGAAATGTACCCTATTTTAAATTTAATGACAAAAATAAACACTTGTAAAACGAAAATGACCATTTCAGGAATTTACCCAGAAAGAATAGTGAGTGCACACTCTTAACAAAAAAATATAACGAGAAGATAAAAAGGGTAAAGTACACATTTAGTACCTAGACTATCGCTTTTATTTTGTTTGAGTATCTAAACTTTCATTTTTTAAAAATCATACCTAACTTTTACTTTTTGTTTCATTTTAGTATTCTGTTGTTAAAAATTTGGGTACTAACATGAAAAAAAAGTTAATGATGAGGTACTAAATGAAACAAAAAAGTTAATGATGTATACTAAAATGAAACAAAAAGTAAACATTAGGTATGATTTTAAAAAAATTGAAAGTTTAGGTACTAAAATGAAACAAAAGTGATAGTTTATGTACTAAATATGTAGTTACCCAAATAAAATTTTGATTTCTCAAATATCGAACAACAAAGAATATTATAATACAAATAAGACTTAAATATTAAATAAGTGTCAAAATTATATCACTTTTCATGAATATGTGTTTAAACTATTTTTTAATGATCAAGATGTCTAACATTATATATGTTACCACTTTAGTTGTCCGAGACGTAGCGACTGTTAAATTTCACTGTTATGTGACATGTGTTGCCCTAAGTTAATTTTGAAAATTATATTTAAAAACCTTAAAAATATTTATATATATTAAAAAGCTTGAAGTTTTCAAAATTTTTTAAAACTTCCCACAAACTTTAAAAACTCTAAATCTAGTCCCTATACCTCTGCCCACTGCCTCCCGCTGTCATCGTTGTCGTCGATTGGACTTCTACTTGGCCATGCCTCCACTAAAGACCTGTTCCCCGACGAACAATTGCCCTAACAACATTCAAAGATCCTAAAACCGCAATGAAATCGCTCAAAATCTATCCCGACGAATGCGACGAAACGACGACCATCGTGAAGACCACTACGACTCCACAACAAGGACGATGCCATCTGACTACGGAGATAGCAAGGGAGGTGTCGGAGCTAGTGGATGTGGCCAGAAACAGAGGTGAAGTTCGGGTTAGGGTTAGGTTATGATTTAAAGATTTTGAGACTTTTTTGTGCTTTTAGAAAAAATAAGTTTTTTAATATAAATATAATAATTTTAAAAAATTATTTCAAAATTACCATAGCATGACATATGTATATTAACAGAATTTTTTAATTGCCGTTACATCCAGACACTCTAAATGATAACGTTTGTAACATTAAAAATATGAATTATTCAAAAAATAATTTAAACCCTGTTGATAAGAATAGTATAATTTGGTCACTCTATTTTATAATTAAGCCTACAAATAATTTCAACTCGTCGAGATTCAACTTTAAAATCATTAATGGCGAACTCAGTAGCTGACAATACATACTTACAGCAATGGTGTGTGGAGTTTCTTTTCACTGAATCACAAGCTGAGGTTGATGCATTAATCCTCCAGGAGATTGATTCTAGCAGCTAAGTATTTTTATTTTGTTCAATTTTAGCTAAAAAATAATAATAATGGAACAATCTTGAATTACACAAAAAGGAGAATTTTAAAAAAAAATAATGGGTATTGGTATTGAGCTGCAAATTTAAAGAAAAATAGATATTTGCGCATGAAAAGGCATAAATATGGAATTAATTAAAAAAAATAAAAACATTTCCGTCGATATTCCATGAAATTTTCTCAAAGAACTTCAAATTTTGGGATTTTTGTCTCTAGTTAGTCAAAACCAACCAAAAGAGCTGTTTATAGATACTGCTGCTTAAATTGCAAGGGAGAGAAAGCAATGGAAAGTTTTCCATATATAGCTAATTTTTTTAGAGATTGCCCGTTTTCAGGTCTTGGAACAAAAAAGAAAACATAAATAATGGATTTTGTTTAGGAGTTCAAAACCATATACTGAAGAACACGGCTTTAATATCATTGGAATCAGCTTTTAACATGCTTTGCTTTATCTATGCCTCATTGTTGTTTGATTTGTTTTGAGAGACTTGATGCACATTGATGGCCATAGACAAACTACTTTAAGGTTTGTATGTCTTTTTCATCAAGTTATCTCGTTTGGGCTTGTCTTAGTTGCATTGAAAAGATTTTCCCTCGTTTTTTTCTCTCTAGTTTTCATTGAATGTTTCTTTTTGGCATTTCATCAAATAGTTGATGTGTGGTACCCCGCTGGTTTCTTCCATTTGAATTTTTATAGCAAAGAATTGAAAATGTAGGGATTTTTTTATGTGTTTTAATTATGCTGCTTTTTACGATATTACAAAGAAGATTGTTGATTTTCATTCCCATTTTATGTGGTGATTGTTAGTTTCATTTTTTGTTATTTTCCTTCGTAAAGTTTCCCATGTTCATCATTTATTGTTCTCTTTTATGGAAATAATGCTTATTATGTGTGTGTGTTACTTATTTCTTCACTGTTTTTTTTTGGATTTACAAGTTTTCATTGGTGTGATGATGATTTTCATTCGTTTTCCTATACACCTGATGAACCAAGCACAGATCCAGATTCTGATTCATTTTTTGGATTGTTAATTTGTTACTGTCTTTGATTTCTGCCAGCGTGAATTCCATGTGTTTGGTCGACTGGCCGGAGAAGAACTCTGAAGATTTGGTTGTTCAAACAAGATATACAAGACAAGATACTATGATTTCATCATGTGGATCAGTTCAAGGTAGTTATCTCTCTCTCTTTGTATGGTTCATCTGTTTCGGTATTCCGGGCTCTTTACCATTCTTTGTTTCTTATTCTATTGAACAATTGCGAGGTAAAAATGTCGAGGAGGAGAAACAAGAGGGATCGTCTCCTGAAGGAGTTACAAAAGCATGCTACGAAGGCTTGAAATCCAACAAAACAACTACTGATTCCCGCCCAAAGTCGGGAACTAGTCGTGTAGGTTCTGGAGCATTTGCTAACTGGAAAAAACTCTTCAAATTATGGAAACAAAGATCGAAAAGGCGCTTAGCTTTGATCCCCATTCTTTCTTCATCAAAGTGGTCGAAAAAGATAGCTAGGAGCGCAAAAGAAAATCCTATGGTGAGAGATATATACAAGTTCAAGTCCTCTTTACAGAACTTTAGCCTACCCGAGATCCGGGCTGCAACAGACAACTTTAACCCAGGTATGCAATTAATTTCAAGGCTTTGAATACTTGCAAAAGCAGTCAAATATAATGACAGTGGATATAGATAAATATTTCTTTTTCTTGTAGAGAACATAATTGGAAGGGGTGGTTACTCAGTAGTTTACAAGGGTCGGTTGAAAGACGGAAAGTTTGTTGCGATAAAACGAGCAACAAATGGGACATATGATGAGAGGACATCCAGTTTCCTGTCTGAGCTTGGCATTCTAGCCCATGTAAACCATCCAAACACTGCTACATTGATAGGGTGTTGTGTTGAAGGAGGAATGCACCTTGTTTTTCGGTTATCTCGATTGGGAAGTCTGGCATCCGTTCTTCACGGTGTGTTTTTGTGATATGCTGCATTGTTTATCTGGAGTCATTATCACTTCCAATTTATATGAAAACTTTTTTTTTTCTCTCGACATTATTCAGGACCGAAAGGTACACTAGATTGGAGTAAAAGATCCAAGATTGCTTTGGGTACGGCTGATGGCCTCAGATACCTTCACGACCTTTGCGACAGGCAGATTATTCATCGAGATATCAAGGCTGAAAATATTCTGCTTACAGAAGATTTTGAGCCCCAGGTACTTTCAAGTCTTAAAATTCAAAGGATACATCAAATGAGATGTTTAAAGGGACTGAGGCCGTGTAAGTTTTGCAAGAATCCAGTGTGTACAGAATCGAAAACACACATCTATATATACTATTTCTCGATACAAAGAAATCATGAAACTCTCACTCCATTATGTAATTCAGTGTGAGTTTTAAATATTACACGCTGTTTTTAGTTATGAAAGTCTAGTATTCCGACTCAATATCCTGCCTAGAAGTTTGCAGCGGCATAATTTCGTGCTTTTCTTTGTTAAGATCAAGCAATTTATCTATGAGAATTAAGTTTATGACATGTTATAAAGCTCATAATGAATTTTGTATAATCATTCACTTTATCCGTTCTATTTCTTGATTATGTTAGCCGATTTGTCATCCAGATATGCGATTTTGGCCTTTCAATGTGGCTACCGAGACAGTGGACACACCACAACTTAACGAAATTCGAAGGCACCTTTGGGTTTGTAAGCTTAAAGTATCCGTATCGAGTTAATAAATACTTTCTTGGTAATGCTAATGTATTTGTTTCTCAAGATGCAGCTACTTAGCTCCTGAATACTTCATGCACGGCATAGTCGATGAGAAAACCGATGTCTATGCATTCGGAGTTTTACTTTTGGAGCTCGTAACAGGACGGAGAGCATTAGATCAACAACAAAGCATTGTAGTATGGGTACATTCCTCAAGACGAATTTGATCACTCTAACCATATCATAATCGTAAAAGAAATCATTAGTTACCCTTTTGATTCTTCCAGGCAAAGCCCCTGCTTGATAATAATGATATTAAAGAGCTCGTTGATCCCTTTCTAGGCTGTGATTATGATGTAAAGGAAGCGGATCGCATGGTTTTGACTGCTTCCTTGTGCATCAAGCATGCTCCATTTCTTCGGCCTCAAATGAAGCAGGTTTGTGTTAGATTTTTGAAGTTCTCGAACATTTATTCATAACGAGACTAATATTAACAGGATATACTTAGAAATCAACCATATTTTAATTTAGTTCTTTTCATATCGCCAAGTCCATTGCGGTTCATTTATTTCTGGCGTGCTGATATTTTCGATGTTATGACTTCTGAATTGCATATTTGTTCATGTTCAAGAGCAGCATCCGCTTGTCGGAGTCTTGCTTATGCTTCACAATGAACCATTAAGTAGATGGTATAAGAATGAAACTATTGTTGAATACCCGAGGACGATAATGTTTCCATATTGGTGCTCTTGTTTTCGGATTATTCTTTGAAGTTGGTATGACTGAATTGTTTATAACTGCTATTGAAGTGCTCGATTTTAGGAGTGAACATTCATTCAGTTGAATTAATTTGGTTCGAATATTTCGATCAACTGGTTTGGCATCAAAACAATGTCTTGGCCTCTTACTCATGCTCATATCTCTCCTTGTTTTCGTTGCAGGTCGTGAGACAGCTGAGGGACAATGAATATTTAGCTGACTGTAGTAAAAAATCTCGAAGTCTATCCATCAGGAGAACATACTCGAACGAACTCATCGACGCACAAGAATACAACGTGACAAAAAGTCTAAGCATGACTTGACTTGGGGAAATTGAATAGCACTCAGACTGTGGCATCTGCATCTAGCTTATGATCAAACCACACAAATAAGACCCGAATGCACCAGTCTGGAGTTTACTCTGCTACATCATATAACCACAGCAATAACTTAAAATGCATTCACCTTAGGTGAAGCGGTACACCGGAACACGCTTGAAAGACTAGAATACCGTAGCCATAAGAACATCAAGACGAAAGCACGAGTGGAGTTCATTAATAGATATCCCGAGTACAAATAATAAATTCGATGACCTTAATCCAGAACTTCCATAAAATAACGTTGTTGTTAATGACCTTGATGTGCCTGCTAACTCGAAAACCCTTGTCCCACTCAAAAGTAACAATTACTTGGGACAAATGGATTTTCATTTCAAACTACTACTAGATTATGTAATCAACATCACCCAACCAGGCAAGTGATATTGCAACAATCAAATTCGTTCGATAAGTAATGTTTCAAATACGACAGCCTTCGAGACCACTCGACCATGTCAACGGAGAATTAGTTGCTAATCTTGTAGATATCCTTTGTCCTCCAAGTAAGTAACTACTTCCCCTGCCATGGCACTTGGCATGGGGCAAACTCCACCTTTCTGATTTATTTCTATCTGAGCAAAATAACTATCCGGTTTCAAGATTCGTACAAATATAGAAGTAATCGGAACAGATAATAGCAAAATTTTAATTCTCAGTGTAACCATTAATTGTTTCTGTATTCAACTAAACACATACCTCACAGTTCAACGGCAGGTCGTAAGGATCGTCTATGCCGGTAAAACCTGCAATAATAACACAGATAAGGTCAACCATAGAATATATGATTCTTAAATGGTGAATATTGATTTCAAGAGACTAATAGTTACATACAAACTTGATTTTCTTAATAATACGATTACGTGACATGATTTGAATGGAGAGGATATAATGAATTAGTCCAATCCTTCATCACGGTTAAGGTCATTTGCGTTATTAGCCAAACGTAAGATGATTAAAATAGCATTTAACGTCTAAGAAGTCGTCATTTTGTGTATGGAAACTAGAGTAAAGATATTGAACCAAAACATACAAGATCTGATTAGGAAAATAAAAATATAGAGGCCTATGTTGGTCCGGTTACTTTGTTTTTCTTGAAGTACCCATGTCCGACACTCGTGTCTTCTACGTACCAAATATAAGAAGTGAACTTTTTCTTAAAAAAATGAAAATCATCACGCAAGATAGATACCCATATCCTACAAATCTGTATCCAAATAACATAGAGGTTATCAAACCAAAATAAAATTCTGTCTCAAAGAGATCTTCAGTGCATACCTATTGAAACAGAGATTATCTTTCTGCAATTCATCCACTAAAAGCACACAAACAATGAATTTCTGTTTGATGATGTGTAATTGTGTATGTGTTGATGGTAAAAGAATGAGGCAACTTATGGCAATGAATGAATGAAGGAAACTGACACACCTTTGATCTTTCCCGCACGTGCAAGCTTGTAAAGACCTTTTGGATCTCGCTTTTCACATAATGCCAGAGGCATGTTCATGTAAACCTGCACAAGTACAAAGAAAAAGGCATTCCAACCTGAGTAGAAACGACATAATCAAGATGAGAACCATTCAAGAAGAGGCTTGCCTCGATAAATTAGAATCTGGCAACATTGCACGGCATGCATCACGGTCTTTCCTATACGGAGATATTAGGCTGGCAATGCAGATTAAGCCAGCATCTGCAAAGAGCTTTGCCACTTCACCTGAATTATATGCACAATATTAGAAACAACTTAAAATGAAATACATCAAAGAACAATGCCCAAACCGTGCTCTACAAGAAGAAAAGCCAAACTCTTGTAAACCATCTGGTCATAACAATCTATATTTACTCAGACTCGGGGGTTGGGGGGGGGGAATGTCCCATATGGGTATGCCTAACAACCTCCCAAGTATTTTTCATAAATATGGAGAATCATACCCATTACCCAAATATCAAACACGTCTCGAACATGGGTGCTTTTTGGAAAATGAAGAATCAGAAGGGTATAGACGTATATCAAAGAGATGGTAATGATACAGACTTAGTTGTTTTGTTCTCATGAAGTGTTCAACAACAACCAAACTTCATTATTTCATAAATTTGTGTCAAGATCGCGAAACACTACCATTTACACCAACCGAACTATTTAACTCTACAGACTTTTACTTGTCAACATACTTACCAACCCTGCGTATATTTTCTGTTCGATCTTCTGCCTTGAATTCAAGATCCTTGTTTAATCCGTGCCGAAGGTTGTCCCCGTCAAGTATATAAGGTAACTTGCCTCGTACATACAGTTCCCTACTTAGCGAACATGCAAGTGTACTTTTACCTGAACATGATAATCAAATTCGAGAAGCAATTTTCAAATTCAAAACAGGTCAAGCTGCTAAACGTTTTAACTTTCTAGGAATGATAATCCTAACTCGGAAGAAAAACTAGAAGCATTTGGAGAGTCCTTTTGATTATAAACCTGATCCACTGAGACCCGTGATCCATACAACACATCCCTTTTGATTAAGAAGCTTCTGCCTTTCGATCTTCCCAATTGGTGATTCTTGCCAAAATATATTCGTTGAATTTCCTATAGTCGACATCTTAAAGTTCCCTAGTCTTCAATTCTCTATGTATGCAAGTAAACACAGAATAGGTAAACAGCAATCAGATAACCACATTTCAAACAACATTAAGCCACTTGAAAATAACAAGAGAGACTTATAGTGACCATCTTATGTGTTAATTCTTAGCTATATTACTCAGACAAAAGTTTGAGCGTTGAATACAAGGAGCACCATTGGAAGAGATCATATCGGCGACTTGATGAAGTGTCGCAGAAAGATACCTTCCTAGTGTATACACAATTATAGCGTTTTCCCAAATTTTTCTTCCTGAAAAATAAGCTGCTAAAGGACACATAACAGCTGATTTTCATTTTATTTTCCATTCATTCACATGGTTCTGACCAGTATTTGGAATGCTATAAAGTCCAAAATATGTTTCAAATTAAGAAAGGCTTATATCACAAATAAATACCTAAAGTATACATTCTTTTTGATTCAAGTACTTAAAGTATTTTTTGGTCAAAATAAATACCCAAAGTTATCTTTTTTGTCAAAATAAGTATCCAAAGTATTTTGTGTAAAAATAGGTACCTAAACTATTCAAACTTTTTCATCTAAGTTCTAAAAAAGTTGACACGTTGCACTAATTAAATAATACTTTAGGTACTTAGATGAAGAAAATTGAATACTTTAGGTACCTATTTTGATAAAAAAAATAATTTAGGCACTTATTTTGACCATAAAAGATAACTTTCAGTACTTATTTTGACCAAAAAATACTTTAAGTACTTAAATAAAAAAGAGGGCATACTTTAGTTACTAATTTGTTATACAAGCCATTAAAAAAACATGATTGTTTCTTCTTAATGTTTCCATCCTACACATCATAGTGAGAAAAATGAATATCCACCGTTAAACAGCTAATGCAACTGGCAAAACAACAAACACATAACATGCATCCTTTTTTTTCAATCTGTAAAATCGTCAAAGAGGAAGAACCCAGATAATTTCATATCAGTATTCTCCTGATCTAACAGCGATGACTTCAATAAACCCCAAAAGCGAAATGCTTCATCATCTACATATAAACCCACAAAACACACGATTTTTGATCCCATTTCCAGTGGTTTTTCATTAAATTAAAAACTACACATGACATGTAAGTAAAAGAGGAGGAGATAGGCAATTACCCGAGAGATGAAACTTAAGCTTGATGAAAAGCAAGTTTAATTCTTCGTTTCCCCCCCCCCCTTTTTATGAGAAATAAAGGAAATGAAAAGAGAAACCGCATTTATTGCTCGAGTGGAAAAAACATGGAAAAGGGATGATAATTGATGGGAAGATTAACCCGGCGTAGACAGAGGAAGGAGAAAAGGAAATCGGTTAACTTTTTTTTTACTAGAAAGCGACAAATCCTCTATTAGCCCCTAAATTTGATATTTGTTCAATTTGATCACTGATACTTTTTTCGTACTAATATTTAAACTCAATGATCTTTTCATTTTAGTCTTTTTGATAACATGTATATTTAATATTATGCCACACACATGCACGGATAAAACAATTTCAGTAGTTAAAAGATTACTGTTATTTTTTGAGGTTTCGAGTTACGTATGCAAGGTATGAACGTTAAATGTTAAATGATTGAGAATTTTTAAACATATTTTACATTCGAACATACATTATCGAGTGTGTTATAAAAAGGATATCCTTGCTATATTAACATTTTTAGCATTTCCCCATTTTTCTTAGTTTTTATGCCATTTCTTCTTTCTTCTTTTTCATGTCTTTTTTCTTTCTTCTTCTCACAAATATTTGGGTTTCATGATGAGTTTCATACATGGTGAAGTTAAAATTGTGATCAATATATTAAATGTTCTCTTGACTATAACGTATTATTTTATTAGGTTTACCGACTATTAAAAATTATAAAATGATCCCTCAACTATAAGGAGTTGCTTTGTTGAATCCATCGACTAGTAAAAGTTACAAAATGGTTGACTATTCATTATATTCCAAACTAGTCCTTTTTCGTTCAAAAATTGACGATCATCTGAGTTGGACGTTAACATGCTTACTGAGATATGATAGTCGTTTAAGATTATGAGATCACATTTATCATATCTCAGTCAGTAGGTTAACATATAGCTCAAATAATCGTAATTTTTTAAAGGAAAATGACGAGTTTAAAACATAATGAATGTTTGTGAATATTTGGGTGATCATTTTGTAACTTTTAATAGTCAATGGACTCAACAAAGTAACTCCCTATAGTCGGAGAACTATTTTGTAACTTTAATAGTCGGTGGACTTAATAAAGCAATACCCTATAGTCAGGGAATTATTTATGTACTTTACCCTATGTTAAATGTGTTTAATTTAGATTTCTTTGTTAAATTTTCGGTACAATATAAAAAATACCTCTTATTAAATAGTCATTTTAACTTATATTCTTTTATGGAGTATTTTGACTCACAACCTTTCATTTTAGAGCAAAAAACCCTTCTTTCGAATAGAAATCATTAGTTAACGAACGGTTAACACTTTAAAATAGAGTCATTTTAACCCTAAAATAAAATGTTAAGGGCTAAAATATTTTAGGAAAAATAATGAGTAAAAGGACTATTTAATCAAATGTTAAGAGTCTTTTCATCTTAGAATGAAACTTTGAGACTAAAATAACTATTTTAATATAGGTTTGGAGCTAATTTGGCATTATGCCCAACTTTTTACCGTATGATTTCTTCTGCTTGGACATGAAATCTTTAATGTTTTGGTCCATTCGTAGCTTTCACTAGCGTTGGTTGCTTTAATCTTCAGCTTTGATTATTTCAATTTGGTATTCAATTTAGATTTGATGATAAATACCACAAGAATCTTTCAATTTGGTTGTTTTAATATTTTTCTATTTTTTTGTCAATTAAAAATAAAAAATACTTGTATTCGATCGAGTCCGATGAGTAAACATATTTTATTTTGATATGAGTAAAATACTATGATATATCTTCGGAGTAAACTTGTCGGAGAACAATGACACTCCATCCACATAATCACCCAAAATCAACCAAACGTAAACCTCAAAATCCATCCAGAAATCACTTCAGGAGCGTTAGTCAGATGATCATCCAGAATTTTCTTTTACTTATCTCTGATACGAATTTGACAATCAAATCTGATCGTTGAAAGTTATATTTGTAATGATTGATTGCTTATTAACATTTATGATGACCTAGGCTTGACATCAACCATCCTATAGTCGAAAAATTTATACTCTTGAGTAAGATTAAAAGTATGACTTCCTCTTCCTCTCGAATTACTCACCTATTCATAAACATCTTTCTCGATCTCCTAATAAAAAGATGTTGATTAACGATTACTCTCTCACCGATTATTGCTCTCTATTTATACAAAAATTGATAAAATCACTTACAGTCCCACAAATAAAATTTATTACTCAAATTGGGTCATCAAAAATAGAATTTTAAACTACTCTGCATCATTGTCATCTCTAAATTTAGTTTACTAATTTTTAGCTCGTGCACTTTTTTAGAAGAAAAACTTGTACAGAATTAAAGTTCCATTGGGATTCCAACTTCAACTTAACCAAATATCATTATTTTAAAAAGAATAATTGAATTTTTAAATTTCAATTTAATTTCATAAGCTGAAAAGAAACAATCTTAACTGAAATTAATCAGTAGACTTCATTCATATTGTATAAAATTTCCTAATTTTACACAGAAAAATATAGTGATGCATGAATTTAAATGAATATATCACAATTAAACAAATCCTATATATAAATGAGGAGGAGGAGGAGAGGAGGAGGAGGAGGAGGAGGAGGAGGAGGAGGAGGAGGAGGAGGAGGAGGAGGAGACTGTTAAGAGCTCTTGATTTTCTCATCATTCTTCAATTCCTTCAAATTCCTCCACAAATACCTCCCACTAGCCATGTCCACAAATACCCAGAATCCATTCTTAACCATCTGAGAATTCAACAACAAACCAAAGAAATACGAACAATCAGGAACGACATACTTTTATATTAAACGAAAATATATAAAATAAAATAATAATTTAAAATTTTCATGGAAACAGATAAAATAACATGAGCACGATAAGCAATGCACTCGGAATGAAATAATACGAATACGAACATCAAATGAATACGTACAGATTTGAAGCCGAAATCTTGTTTGTTTTTGGCAATAATTTTCCCGGAATCTTCAGAATTACCGTCGTCGACATCGGCCGATAAACCTACCGTCGTTCTCCACGCGAAGTACCCAGCTAAAATCGCAGAGAAAAACACCAGCAAGAGTCTCATAGGGCACATTTTTCCTCCTTTTTTTTTAAATGACGGAAAGATTTGAGATTCTAACAAAAACCCAGAATTATTTCCTTTGTTTATGTGATGATGGATTGGAATTATTGAGAAAATTGGACAGAAAATTGTGAGGGAATTCTGCTTTTTAAAGAGAAAGCCACCGATGTCAACTTTTAAAAGCTATATATTGGACAAACGCGTTTGCTGAATATTGAAGTTTTCTCTCCCCAAAAAATAGTGGTTTAATTATGGTCTTAGACCCTATATTCTAAACTTTTAAATATTAGTCACTTAATTTTTGTTTCCATGATTTTAATCCCTCTACTTATCTAATTTAAAAACTAAATTCCGATTGATATTATTATTAATCGGAGTTGTACAAAATAGACCGTTGGTCAAATAAATTCTCGGTTTAGCGAGTAGGATTAGGATTACATTTAAAATTTGTCAAATAAATTAGTAAAAATTAAAATCTAATTCAACCGATAGAACTGTCAATTTTTGTCTTAATTTTTGGTTTTTTTACGGTTCATATGGTTTTTAATTTTACTCCACCGGTTCAACCGATAAGATTGTCATTTCTTGTTAGTAGATTTCTATTGAATAAATAATTACCACTTTAATATTCAAAGGGCTTAATTAAAAATTAAAATCCAGTTGGTAATCAAAGTTAAAAGAAATCGATTGATAGCATTATCAGATGATTTTTAATTGAGAAAATCGCCTCAGTGACCAAAAAAAAGTTATAATATACGATTTTAACCAACTTTTTTTGGATTTGCCAAAATGACCAACAAAATCGCAACGCGAAATAAAAATCGCAACGCGATCCCCAGAATCGCAAATCAGTTTCCAAAATCGCAACGCGATTCTTGAAAATCGCGATGCGATAGTACAAATTCG